AAGGGGACAGGGTTTAGGAGAGCCTCCAGGCTGATGAATACATGGAGATACAGGGAAAGTGGTGAGCCTGGAAGGGCATGGAAGCCCCCTGCCCTGTCCCTGTACTTGACCCCATGCATCTCTTTCATGTAGCTCTTCCTGAGTTATATCCTTTTACAATAAACCAGTGATCGAGTAAGTAACATGTTCCTCTGACTTCTGTGAGCCATTCCAGCTAATTAATCAAACCCAAGAAGGGGTTTGTGGGAACCTCTGATTTATAGCCAGTTGGTCAGAGGTACAGGTGACAACCTGGACTTGTTGTGATTGGCATTCTGAGTTGAGGAGAGTGGGGAGTCATTGTAGCATCCATTCTATAGCCTATGTCAGAAGCACAGGTAAGAGCCTAGGCTTGAGGCTGGTGTCTGGTGTGTCTGCAGGGGGTGTGGTGTGGGGCAGTCTTATAGGACTGAACCCTTAACTTGTGGAATCTGATGCTACTTCTGGTTAGATAGTGTCAGGATTGAGTTGAATTCTTAGATACCCTGTTGGTATCCAAGAATTGTTTGTTAGAATGGAGGAGTCCACCTCCCACTTTGGAATTGGGTCCTGAGCCATTTTATTTATTTATTTATTTATTTATTTATTTATTTATTTATTTATTTGTTTATTTTTTTTGTGGAAGGCAAACCGGCAACCTTGCTGTTAAAAGCACACGCTCTATCCACTGAGCCAACCGGGCGGCAGCTCAGCTCAAGGTGCCAAGTTCAGTCCCAGCCAGGGGATCATTCAACAGGCAATCTTGTCTTTAGGAGCATGTGCTCTCACCAGCTGAGCCATCCTTCCAACAGGGAGCTCAGCGGCAGCTCAGCTCAAGTGAAGTATCACTGGCTCACGTGGGAATCGAACCGGTGACCCTGTTGCTCAGAGCTCGTGCTCTTAAGCAAACTCTTAACCAACTGAGCCACTCGGCCGGCCCCCCTGAATGATTTTTGTTGTGTAGCTGACCCATAGCAGAGAACCTAGGTGCTTGCATTTACCAATTCAAGGCTGAAGACTGTAGTCATCGGAACTTAGTAAAATAGTTTAGGATGAGTCCTTATTCTTTTACTAAGTCTACAAGCAAATAGTTCACTGGTACTGGATTAATGTCCAGTAGCCAACAGGTGGTATAGGGACTGTTTAAATGTGGTCACCTGTAAGGGTACAGATGCCAGAAATGGGCACTCTGAAGCTTTGTTTCCTTGGGCTTTGGAGCAGCTATTTGACTTGGGCAAGTAACTTTCTATTTTGGACCTCAGTTTCCTAATCTCTGAAATTAGGGTTTGGGTTGCATTATCTCAGATGTCCTTCCAGCCTTTGCTGGGCTGTCCAGTTCTCATATGACTAAACAGTGATGTGCTGTTAGTTGTCCCAGGACCTGGCTGTGCTCTTGATTTGGCTGGCAAAGATGTGAAATTGATGGAGAGGCTTTCAAAAATGGTGGATGATATTTTGCTTTCAAGGATTTTTTTAAGTGGTTTGTCTTGGTGCTTGGAGGGATAGGTATCCCTTTCATCTCAGTAGATCTGGTAAATCAAAACTGGCTTTATCTGCTCTGGTTTCAGAACATTTGAGATCCTTCTAGAGACTGAGTGGATGGTCACCTTGAGGTAGGAAAGAAAACTGGTGTGGCTGGGTGAGTTACCGACCACATATCTCAGAGGTGATTTTCAGTGGAGGTTACCTAGGAGCTTTTTGAACTAAAAAAATGTTACTTTATGCTTTTTGATGCTTCAAAGCCAGTTCTATTGTCCACCTCTCAATGAACGTTTGGTAATTTTGGAGCACAGATTTTCAGTAGTAATCAGTCCTTATTTCTCCTTGGCATTGATTTTTCCACCTTTATCTTAATGTGTCTTTTGTTGTTGCCTCAATTGTGTTTTTTTGGATTGAAGGGAGATTTAAATAAATAAAGCTAAAACAGATATGGCTAGATGGATGGGAGACAGTGAATAACAATATC